AAAACTGCAGGAAATACCCCATGAGGTTGGCATTCAGGACCATGTTAATGCCTGGTTTCGTTTAACTTCATTATTTTTATTTTTGTGAAAATAGATTTATTTCCATACAATATATTCTGAATAAGGTCTCTCCTCCTTCTGCTCCTCACAGTTTGTCGCCATCTCCCATCTGAATCCATCTCCTTTTCTCTTTCCTTCCTGGGTTGGGAGGGAAGGCATCTAAGAGACAATAAATAAAAAAAAGATAAAATAAAAACAAAGAAATCAGAATCTGACAAAACAAACAGACGAGCCCAAGAAAAGCCGCAGGCCACAGATACAGATACAGAGATACATTCATTTGCACACTCACAGATCCCATAAAAACACAAAACCAGAAGCTATAATGTATATGAAAAGGACCCATAGGGTAAAAAATAAAATTAAAACCAAAGTCCTGACAAGACATTATGAGACAGGAAACTCCAAATATGGCATTGATTTTTTTTAGTGTTGGACATCTCCCACTGGGCATAGAGCTTACACTTAAGAGTGGTGTGTTACCCCAGTGAGATGGCTCTGGAGAAAACTAATTTTCAAGAGGTAATCAACTGGAGATGGTTTCTGGGTTAGGGAAGGGGGATGTCCACTTCTCTTTCAGCTCTAGGAATCCATGGGGTAGAGGCCCTTTCATGCTGCCTCGGTCTCTGGGAGTTCCTATGTGTGTTGAACCTGTTGATTTAGAAGGCTTTGCTTTCTTGGTGCTTTCAATCACCTCTTTCTGCCTCCTCTTCCACAGGGTTCCCTGAACCCTGAGGGGAGGGATTTGATGGGGACATGCCATTTGGGGCTAAATGTTCCCAGGGTATCTTCACAAGCATTGTGCCATGATTGCACCAGATGGATCACCAATTTAGATCAAAAGGTTTGTGGCTGTATTGGTATTTATGTCTTTCCTTGATAGCATGCAGAGTATGTTCCAGTACCATGGACACTAATCTGTAGGGTTGAAGGCTCTAGGTAGGTACAGCTTGACGTTTCTATGTTCAATTAGTTGTGTAGGAGTTGTCTTCAGCAATAAGGTCTTACTGTCAGTTTGTGGAAAGCAACCACAACTATTGCTTTGGCGATAGCCTGGATTGTTTAAGGGTTCCTGTGCAACCAATTTGGCTCCAAACTAGAACATATGTAACCAATTCCTGGTACTGGAAGCTTCATTTGATGACTAGAGATGTCCTGTTGGTTCTCTGTCTCCCTTGTTATTTGTCAATCCACATCACATATGTATGTATTTTAGGAAACTTCTGCTGTAAGTAGGTTTCCATATGACCCTTCAAATGGCCCCTAGTTTTAGTAGTCCTTCCAGTATTCCCTCCATCACCCCTCTTTCCTCTCTCTCTACCCATATATGCTCTGCCCATTCCAGTGCGCCTCCATCAATCCTTAATTATTTATTCTATTTCCCCTTCCTAGGGCGATCCATTCCTCCCCATTCCACAGTCCCTTATCAATAACTAACCTCTATGGCTATATGGCATGCTTATCTGTGGTTTGACAGCTAACATCCACATATAAAAAGTGCATATATAATTTATTTGTCCTCCTGGTCTAGATTATCTCACCCAGGATGATTTTTTTCTATTTCCAAACATTTACCCGAGAATGTCATGATTTCATTTTTTTAATGACTGAGTAATATTCCATTGTGTAAATTTTCTCATCCATCCACTGACAAACATCTAGGTTGTTTCCGATTTCTGGCTGTTACAAATAAAGTGACAATGAACATGGTTGAGAAGGTGTCTCTGTAGTAGGATGAAGCATCCTTTGGATATATGGTTAAGAGTAGTACAAGGGGATCTTGACATAGCTTAATTCTTATCTTCAAAGTATTGCCACACTGATTTCCATAGAGGCTTATAAGTTTGCACCCCCACCAGCGATGGATAAGTGTTTCTGTTACTCCACATCTTCTCCAGCATGAGCTGTCACTTATTTTATTGATCTTAGCCATTCTGGTGGGTGTGAGATGAAATCTCAAAGTTTTTTGGTTTTTTTGTTTTGTTTTGTTTTGTTGTTTTGTTTTTTTTGATTTCTATGTCCCTGTTGAATAGAGATTTTAAATATCTGTACTTCTTGGCCATTGAGTTTCCTCTTTTGAGTATTCTGTTTAGACCTCTTCTCAAGTTTAAATTTGATTGTGTGTTTTCTTGGTAATCCAGTTTTTTTGTTCTTTTTATATGTTTGATATTGGCCCTCTATCATTCGTGTAACTGATAAAAAAAACTTTTCCTGTTCCACAGCCTACCTTTGATACACAAAGCTTTTCAGTTGCATGAAGTCCCATTCATTAATTGTTGACCTCAGTGCTTGTGTTATTGGTGTTCTGTTCAGTCTGCCAATGTCAGTCTTTTTCGTCTGCCAATGAACTCATGGCTAACCCCCATTTTGTTTTCTATCAGGTTCAGTATACTTAGTTTTATGTCAAGATATTTGATCAATTTCCAGTTGTGTTTTGTGAAGAATGATAAATATGGATCTAATTGCATTCTTCTATCTGCAACCATCAATTTTGAGCAGCAATATTTATTGAATATGCTTTTCACAGTAGACACTGTGAAAAGTGTTTCTTGTTCCTTTATCAAAAATCAGGTGTCCATATATATGTGGACTCACATCTAGGTCTTTGATTCTATTCCATTGATTAATGTGTCTGGTCTTGCTCCAATACCATGTTATATTTATTAATATATCCCTGTAGTAAAACTTGAAATTGGAGATAGTGATACCTCCTGCACTCATTTTATTATTCAGAATTATTTTAGCTACTCTGAGTTTTTGTTTCCTTCATTTGAAGCTGAGAATTGTTCTTTCAAGTTCTGTGAGGAGTTGTGTTGGAGTTTTGGTGGAGATTGAATTAAGTCTGTCGATTGTTTTTGGTGGGATGGCTATTTTTTTAACTAAATTGATCATTCTGGTCCATGAGAATGGGAGGTATTTCCATTTTCTGATATTTTCTTCAATTTCTTTCTTCGGTGTCCTAAAGTTTTTGAATATAAGTCTTGCACTTGTTCGGTTAGAATCACACCAAGATGTTTTCTATTTCTGAGGCTGTTGTGAAATGCAGTGTTTCCCTGATTTCTTTCTCAGTCCACTTTTCATTTCTATGTGGTAAGGCTACTGATTTCTGTGTATTACTTTTATATTCTGTTACTTTCCTGAAAGGGTCTATAAACTGTAGGAATTTCCCGGTGGAATATTTTTGGTAACAAATCATACTATCGAATCATCTGAAAATAAAGATACTTTGACTTCTACCCTTCCTTGTTATATCCCTTGATCTCCTTCAGCTTTCTTATTGCTCTAGCTAAGAAATCAAATTGCTATATTGAATAAGAATGGAGAGGGTGGAAAACATTGTCTTATTCCTTATTTTAGTAGAAATGTTTTGGGTCTCTTTCCATTTAAGTTGATGTTGGCTGTGGGCTTCCTGTAAACTTTTTATTATGCTGAGGTATGTCTATTATATACCTAATCTCTTCATGTTTTTTTTATCAATAAAGGGTGTTGGATTTTGTCAAAGGCCTTTTCTGCATTTAATGAGTTGATCATATGGTGTTTGTCTTTTTGGTGAATGGTGGTTACCTGTTCACCTATGTTGAACCATCTCTGAATCTCTGTGATGAAGCTTACTTGATTTTGGTGCATGCACTTTTTCATGTGTTCTTGGATTCAGTTTTCAAGAATTTTGCATCTATGTTCATAAGGGAAATTGGTCTGAAGTTCTCTTCAATGGGTATAGGTTTCAGGGTAACTGTGGTCTCATGAAAAGAATTTAGCAATGTTCCTTCTGTTTCTGTTTTGTGGAATAATTTGAGAAGTGTTAGCATTAATTCTTTGAAATCTGGTAGAAATCTCTGCTAGAACCACCTGGGTCTATTTTGTTGTTGGAAGACTTAATTACTGCTTCTGTTTCACTAGGGTTTATGGGTCTCTTTAACTTGCTTTTAGATTTTTCAGTTTGGTGGAGGACAGGTCAAAGTATGTTCTTCTGATTCTCTGGATTTCCTCGGTGTCTGTTTTTATGTCACCATTTTTCATTCTAGTTTCATTTATTTGTATCTGTTCTCTCTGCCTCTTAGTTAATTTGGTTAAGGGTTTGTCAATCATATTGATTTTCTCAAAAAAACAACTCTTTGTTTCATTGATATTTCATGGGTTTATTTTATTTGTTTGTTTCTATTCTATTGTTTTCAGCCCTGAGTTTATTATTTCTTGTGGTATACTCCTTTGGGGTTTGATTTCACCTTTTTGTTCTAGAGCTTTCATGTGTGCTGTTGTTACTTATATGAGGTATCTAAATTTGTTTTTTAACAAGTTAAAACGTAAAATTGATTTTTCTCAAAAGGAGATGGCATAGAAAGTGGTTATTTTCAAAGTATATGATAAAATTAAACAAAATAAGTGTCTTTATGAAACCTATAATCATAAACAATGAATACATGTCAATTAAAATTATTTTATGCATTTAATTTCTTTCTTTTCTTGAAAACAGATTCTTGTCTGGTCCAGTCTGTTTGGTGTTCTACATGATTCTTGTACCTTGATAAGCATCTCCTTCTTTGTGTTAGGAAAATTTTCTTTTATGATTTTATTGAGAGTATTTTCTATGCCTTTGACCTGGATTTCTTCTCCTTTGCCTATTGCTATTGTTCATAGATTTGTTATTTTTCATAACAAACCAGATTTCCTAGATGTTTTGTGTCTAATTTTTTTTTAGATTTAACATTTTCTTTGCCTGAGGTATTTATTTCTTCCATCATGTCTTCAATGTCTGAGATTCTCTCTTCCATCTTTTGTATTCTTTGGGTGAGGTTTGCTTCTGAGGCTCCTGTTTGAGATCCTAAACTTATGGGTCACAATGAAAACAGTGCTCAGAGGAAAGTGATCTGCTATAGAGCTGGGGGGGGGGCATGAACCTGGGGGAATAGATTTGAAGGAATGAAGGGAGAGTGGAGATACCAAGGCTCCCAACCTTCTTCACTGGCCTACCTGTTTATCTTACATCTTCAATTTTTAATGTACACACTTATAACTGTAAACTTCTCTCTTAGAATTGCTTTTATTGTATCCCATGGGTTTGGGTATATTGAGTTTTCATTATCAGTTTTCTTCTAGGAATTTTTAATTTCCTTCTTGATTTCTTTAATGACCAATTCATTGTTCAATAGTACTGGCCTCCCAGACAGCAGTCTGGGGTCGATGTGCTCCCCCTTGTACAAGCCAGCTGATTCTGTGGGTTTCCTGGTACCAACCCCTTTGATCTTCATTCCTCCCTCTCTGCAACTAGGTTGATGTCAATTTTTGATGTTTATTTTGTCTCCTTACCTGTTGGTAAGGTTGGGATATTGAAGCCACCCTTACACCCCTTGTGTATATGTTTAAAATTATTATATCCTTCTAATGTATTGATAGTTCAACAAATCAATATGAAACAATCATTTTTATTTCTTCTGACGAATTATTGTTCAAAGCACAATTTGCTATATATTAGTAAACCCACATTTACTTGTATTCTAGTTCCACCTGCTTATAAAACAATTTTTCATTCTTTCACCCTAATTTGGTGTCTTTCCAAGCAAAGCTTATCTCTTGAGTGCAAGAAATAGTTGGGTCCTGTTTCTAATACAATCGGATACACTGTGCCTCTTTGCCTGGAGAACTGAAGCATTTGACAAAGTCCAACATCTTACCATGAAAACCTTGATGAAACCAGGAATAGAAAAGAACATTCCTCAAGTAGTGAAGGATATTCAACACAGCAATCTATACCGAGCTCTATGCTTAATGGAGGCAAAACTGAAGCATTTCCTTGAAATAAGGGTCAAGAAAAAAGTATCCACTGTCCCCACTGCTTTCCAACACTGCTCAAAGTCTTAGCTAGAACAATAAGATAAGAGAAAGAAATAAAATGATACAATGAGAAGGGGAAGTCAACTTTTTTTTCTATTTGCAGATAACGTAATCATATACTTAAAAGGCCCTCAGGATCTCATGAGAAAAGTTCCTAATTAATATATGGGAGGATGTATGATCATCTGTAAGAATTAGTAGCTTTTCTATGTAACAATAAAAACATGTTGAGAAAATAAATGAAAACTACCCCATTGTTTATCACTTTGAAGCAAACCTTGAAATAAGCATTTCTAGGGAACTGAAAAACATCTGTAATGAAGAAAAAAATTAAAACTGAAGAAAGAAATTGAAAAACAACACTACAGATAGAAAGATGCTCGTGTTCATGAGCTACCAGAATTAATACTGTAGAAAATTTCTATATACAGAATCAATCTACAAATTCAGCACAAGCCCTATTAGGATTCTAATGACATTCTTCACAGAAAGTGAGAATAAGTCCTGAAATTCATAGAGAAGCAGGAGAGGCCCTGGTCACAAAAGAAGGCTGAAGCAATTCTGAGGACTGAGAAGAATGCTGGCCATGTCAGTGCACCTGATTTCAATACTTTTTGCTGTGTCACCTGGCACAACACTGGCACGGAACCAAACACTGACAGAATGATCATAAAATGGAAGGCACAGATACAAACACACAAGCACGGATATAGAGTAGAAGAGCCAGCTGCAGATACCAGCTTTTGACAGAGAAGCCAAAAAAAAAGGGGGACAGGGGTTGAGAAAAAGCACCATTGTCAACAATTTTTCTGGAAATTCACCTGTGGAAGAATTAAACTAATTCCTTATTTCTCGATTCAAAATAAAACAAAAACCTTTAATGTAAGACCAGAAACCCTGACGTGGCTAGGGCGACATGTAGGAACCATGCTTCAGGATGTAGGGAGGCATAAACCAGGGCGTACGAGGTCCCTGACGAGGACACTGTTAGCTTACAAAATAAAGTCAAGGATTGGCAAATGGGATTGTGTGAAGGGAAAACGCCTCTGCACAGCGAAGGATCAGACAGCTTAAGCAATGTTAGCTGTGTGTCTGTCTGACTAACAGCTAGAACACGTGCAGATCTTAAAAGACTAAAAGGGTAAGAATCCAAGCGATCTGATCAATAAATGGGCTAGGGAAATGAACAGGCAGCTCTTAAAAGAAGAGGAAAAGCAGTCAATGGGCAGATGAAAAGATGTTGAAATTCCTTCAGGGATATTAAAATGATGACAGTCTACCTCACTCCAGTCCTAATGGCCTTGAATAAGGAAGCTAATGCTGGCAAGGAGAGGAGGGAAAAAGAATTCCTTGTACCTTGCTGATTGGGATGTAGACTGTTTCCGTCACAGTGGAAGACTTCGTGGAGGTTTTTTTTTTGTTTTTTGTTTTGTTTTAAAGTGAAAACAGAGTCCACCGTATGAGTCAGCTATATCACCCCTGATACATTCCTAATGGGCTGGAGATGAACATACCACAGATGTACATACCTAGATGTACATACCACAGAGGCACTTGCAACCTGGTTTACTGCAGTCCTATTGGCAATAGCCAAGTTGTGGAATTAGTCTAGGGATCTGTCAACACATGAATGGATAAAGACCATATAGAATATATACAGGATGGATTTTTCCATGTTTTTCTTTTATTGAAAAGCAAAGATTGTTTCCTCATACAATGTATCCTTATGATAGTCTCTGCTCCCTCTACTCTTCCCAAGTCCCTCCCCACCTCCCCTCCAGATTCTCTCCCTCTCATTAGGAAAGAACAGGCTCCTAAGAGATATCAACCAAACAGGATAAACTAAAATATAATAAGATGAAACCAAAGCTATCATATCAAAGTTGGACACGGCAACCCAACAGGAGGAAAAGAGCCCCAAGAGTAGGCACAAGTGTCAGAGAACCAATTGCTCCCACAGTCAAGTGTCCCACAAAAATACCATGCTAGTAACTATAATATATAAAAAGAGGACCTGGTCTCCTGAGCGAGTGCCAGGATAGGCTCCAAAGTTACACAGAGAAACCCTGTCTCAAAAAACCAAAAAATAAAAAAATAAAGAGGACCTGGTGCAGGTTCTTGTGGACCCCATGCTTTCGTTGTCTTTCGTCTCTGTGAGTTCTTATGTGCCTGACTTAGTTGACTCAGGGGACCTTGTTCTCCTGGTGTCCTCTGGGCTCTTACAATCTTTCAGTCTCCCCTTCATTGAGATTCTCCGAGCTCCGATGGGAAGGATTTGATGGAGACCTCCCATTTAGAGTCTCTCTCCATGTAGTGTCTGGCTGTGGGTCTCGGCATGTGTTCATATCTGCTGCCAAAGGAAGCCTGTCTGACGACGACTGAGTAAGGCATTGATCTATGCGAGTAGCAGAATAGCATGATGGGATCCTATTCAGCCATGAAGTAAAACAAAACTCTACTATCTGTAGGAAAATGGATGCCAGTGGGAGGTCATCATGTTAACCAAATAGAAAGACAAATGCCACTCAGTTTTCACTCCTAGATTTTATATAGATCCATAGAATCATTTCAACATAAGACGTGAAGGAAGAAGTGAGACCATCTGTCGGAATGGATGAAAATAATGGCATCCGGGAGACCGAGTGGGGAGAAAGTCGAGGTTGAGTGTGAATACCGTAAAAGGACATGGTATGCAAATGATCGCTACGTGTAATTAGTGTATTCCAATTTTAAAAGAAAAGAATTAAATGTCTCTTTGAGTCATTTAAAATTTTTAATGATGCGTACGTTCGTGTTTGCATGCCCATGAGCACAGGTGCACACTGAGGCCAGAAGAGGGTGTTGGATCTCCTGGAGTTACAGGTGAGTAGTTAAAGAGCATTCAAAAAGATTGAGGTACAGATTTGATTGCTCGTTTTAAAAGACATTTTATTCTTTACCAATTGTGAAATATTGCAAATTGCTGTGGAGTAATTATTGCACCAGAGAGAGACAATTAACACTAAAGGTCTTCTGAAAAGCCATGTGGAAACCTACTCCTATAGAGGCTTCCTCAAATATGTACATATTAGAAAAGAATTTAACTAGAATCATAGAATGGGGTGACATTGTCCTGACTCAACATCTTCTGCCACCAAGTAAAACCTTAAGTGCCAGGAATGAGCTACATCTTGTTGAGTTGTTGGCCAAAGAAGACCCATAGACTCTCTTCCGCTAACATCACAGGTTTCCAAGGCTATTCCTTGCTTTCTACAGCTTGGTAGGAAGGACCTATCTACTTCAGCCTAGCATTCACAGCGCTGGAAGGGATTTTGCGTGATCTTAGAGAGAAGGGAAATTATCTCACCCAGCCACACAGACTACAAGGTACAACAGTGACCTGCCTGTGAGATACACCCATAGAGCAGAGCGTTGCTCAGCCTTCATCAAAGAAGCTACTTTCATAACTAGGCAATGAGATTCAGCATGGGCCAATGTGTAGAGAGTGAGAGACTTTGGAGCACTTGGTCCTATACAGGATGTCATTGTCAACCACCACCCCCAAGGCTAGAGGATCTGTGAAGAAGGGGAGGTAAGAAAAATTTAAAGACAGAGGTGGGGGATGACTGCAAAGAAACAGTGTCGTGCAGACACAACAGGCTGATTAACAGAAACTGGGACAGCATGCACAAATTCAAGTTCAACCAACACAAAAATTTCTGCATGGAGAAGGGGAAGTAGACACAAAGTCTCACACCTAACCCAATAGTGATTTAGCATTGCTAAATAGTTGGTACCTGCTAGTAAAAGGGAAATCGGTTTTCTCAATGGCGTGTCACACTCCAGAGCTCAGGAATGATTGACTAACACAAAATGAACTCTTTTTTTTTTTGCTCCACTTTTTGATTTATTTTGATATTTTATATTTTTTGTCTTAGTGTTTTATTTTTACCTTGCCTTTTGTCTTGTTTATTTATTTTGAGGAGAGAGAAAGAGAAGAAAACATGAAATTGGATAGGTAAGGAGATGGGGAAAGATCTGGGAGGATATTTTTTAAAAAAAAATTAAAGAATTGTCCCAGGAGAGATACCACCTTCATCTCCCTGAGAACTTTTTAGAAATGAGGATTCCTAACTCTTGCCCCAAATGTGTTGACTCTGTACTCCACATACTGAGCCCAATGTCCCATGATTTAATTAGCTCACTAGGAGGTTCTCAGACCCAATAAAATTTGTGTATGGGGGGGGGGAATTACTGATCTTATGCAACACCATTATTTGAATTTCTAAAGACTGTTCGTAGCTAACAAATGGCTATTTTTGTAAAGTCTGTCAATACATAATAAGAACCTTGTTATTCCCTATCAGCTGGGTGCAGAATATTGCATTATGTTAACTTCCTTCGAATGATCTCTGTACTCTCTGGCTCTCCAACTTTATATTTCTGTCTGGGAAACATTAAAAGTGTCCTCTTCTTCTTTGTGTATGTTCAATTATTCCTTCAAGAAATGTTTATTGACAGCCATTAGGTGCCAATCACAAGGCTGCTTTAGGGAGCAGTGGGCATCTTTGTTCCCAATTATTGCTGTCTACCATGAATTCCCATTTCTCAAATATTGGCATTCCTAAGTATTCCTTCTCTTTCCTAGAAATATGTTTTGACCACGGTTTTCCTGCCCATGGATATGGTCACCGTGTCTGGTGGTTTTTGCAAGGTAGAATTCCATAGCTTTTCATTGTGATCACTGTGGAATCAGAGTGCTACCCACAACTATTCTTTTCTACTGTTTTACTTTCCTTTCCATGTGCCTTTCCCCTCTTAATCCTTAAATTGATCATCACTTAACTCATTTCATTTTTCTACTAAATTATTTCCCATTATTTATGTATTTATTCTGTATGTGTACACATGGGGATATGTATGCTTATGTGTTCTCATGTGTGTATGTGTTATGTGTGTGTGCATGCACATACATTGTGTACATGTACATGGGAAGGCCAGAGGTCAGTCTCAGGTGCCCTCCTTCAAGAGCCATCCATATTGCTTGGTGGAATTTGCAGCACTGATCAGGCTAGACTGGCTGATGAATCTGTCTATATCAGCCTCCTCAGTGCTGGGGTTACAACGCATGCCATAATGCCTGACTCTTTACATGGATGCTTGGTATAGAATTATCCCGATGCAAGCATGTTACTGATTGGGCCAACTCCAACAGCCCATGTTTCTAATATTTTTGTATTTACAGTATAATTAGTACATTAGTATATCCACTGATTCCATATGAGTCCAATTAGACCATTTTTGTAGCACTGAAAACTTAATTCTATGGGTTGTTTCCAGTTATGTATGTTTGTGCATAGGTCTGCTCTTCCTTGAACATAGTGCCAGAGGCTATGCTCAGGCTATCTGCCTGCTAATTTTGTCATTCAAATCCCTCAGACTTTCCTCTGGTGAACTTCTGTGCTAACCTAGGCCACACTGTCTAGCATGCATTGTTGTAGTATTTGGTCTTATGGTTGTATGATTCGATGTATAATCCATTTGGTTTTGCTCTAATAGTGCATTTGTGTAAAGAATAGAAAACTCAGACATTCTCTGGATCTTTCCTAAAAAGACACTCAGGGACAATTTGATTGTTTTTTCTTCCAGTCAAAATCATGGTCCCTAAGGGTATCATCATAATAACTCATCTGTTGAATTCTGTCTTAGGTTAGAGGGTAAGAATGCTAACAACATCTATGTCTCCAAATGTTTTGGTAACGAAGTGCTTTTCTCTTCCTGATAACTCTTTTGTCTGACCCTCTAAACAAAAGGACAAATACCAGGAAGCCTGGGGAGTTTCTACCTCCAGGGAGAATTTGGCAGGGAGTGGAAAAAATGGTTCAGTGACAAGCTATGATGTGTGAGCCCTTGCTCTGCTGGCCATAGAATGAAACCCAGAACATTCCATTCCTTATTTCACACCGAGGCTTCTTTTCTGCTCTAGGCTCAAGTGGATTAACTGCTTCCCAGCCTTAGAGACTTGGATGAACTCTCAAGCAGAATCTCATGGCAGATGTCTGGGAACCTCGCTCATTAGAATACTCCCTGTTCCAGAGCTGAGGCACGTTTAGAGGTGAGAAAGATAAAAGTATTTCTCGCTTAAGCCGAGGATTTCCCAGAAGGTAATGGCAAAGGAGTCTAAATCAAGGTTAAAGAATGAATACATTATCGGTTTGATGTTTACCCTTTGGCGGGTCTTACACGTTAGGAAGAAAGCAATCTCTTTGGGGGAAAGATTCGCATTTAAAATCAGTTATGAACAAAATCTGATGGTACTGGGTGTTTGTGTTAAATAAGCTCCCCAAAGCACAATTCTCAGAGTCAAAGGTTTTACATTTTCATTACTTTTCTACTAATATTTAAAAATAAATAAACAATAAATAAAGCCAGGCTCGGCAGTGGCTGCTTGTTGACCTGGGCATCTTGGCCAACTCCCATAAACGCTGTGGATGCCGTCTTCACACCAAACCAACAGAAAACACACTACTCAGGAGGAAAACTTGCTCTCTGGATCCAGTTTCTACCCTGTCGTGGATCCCCAATACTGATTCCCAAAGCAGTTTCATTAAATCTGCTGCATCTAGTATCGCCCCCATCTGGCCAGTCCTCGGCATTGCCTCTGCGAGTGCAATAATTTTTAAAGCCTTAGGTCTTGAATAGTGGAAGAGATCATAGACTACCATCTCTCTGCTGAGGCTGACTATGACGCACCGGCCCTTGTATTATCTTTAAATAGGCTTTTACAATGAGTCGCGGTTTCAGACAAGTGAGGGCTTATGGAATCCCACCGTGTGCTGTGACCATTCTCAGTCCTCCCTTAAATTAGGCTGAGAGCAAGGACTGAATTCATCCCAACCAGTGGGTGCCCAAGCCAGTGCTTTTCAGAGACAGTGAGTGCCCCTGAGGTAAGTTTAATGACCCTAGTGGCCACAAGTCCCGCCCCCAGACATAAGGACATGAAATCGGGCTGTTCCACACACATCGGTCTATCTGAGTGGGACATAAGCCCGTTTCCCGTTATGACATGGATACTGGAGTTTATTTGTTGTCATAACATAGCAGGACCCACCGCATAAAATTCCCAATGCCCTCAAAGTTAAATGTTTGAGTGCTCTCTTCAGTTTAGGGCCTACTGAATATCGGATACTGTGGTGGAGCATTGGAACGAGGACCCTGTGCTGTGACTAATTCCTATGACAACTGCAAACAAGAGGACCCGTTAGCACTCTTGTTTCTTGTCCTCATCCATGGTTCTGTCCATCTGCCTCAGTGTTCTGTGCATTTGAGTTTGTGTCCTGTGGTCTATCGATGGAAATGCAATCTCTTGAAAGGTTCATGATATATGAACCCCTCTTGTTTTCTCCCCACGGTCTTATAACTCACCACCTACTCCACCAGTATTGCCCAATCTGTGCTTGCTCAAAAAAGTCACCGTATTCCAGCATTCATCTAACTGTGGGCACTCCGATCCCTGCCTCTAGAGCCCTTGCATTCTTATTTCCAGTAGACACTCAATTTTTCATTATCTGTCTACCTCTTCACTTCCTTGGGAAATCTCCCAAGTCCTTCTTGCTTTTTTTCCTCAACCAGAAAAATCCCTCCCTTGTCATACTTAACACTTGGCCCTGTCTTATTCAGCCGATCCTCAGGCCGTAGCCTACACAGGTGCATCCCCTAATGACTTAGCCTACACAGGTGCATCGCCTAATTAGTTTGCTGCTGAATTATGGGGTTTTCTGACTTCAAAGTCTTGCGTGCACATGATAAGGATTTGATGGTGCAGAGATGTTCAAGTTGGAATGGATAACTGCAATTTTATCTCACCATTTGGCAGCAGCATCTATTCCTGCAATTTATTCTGATTTTATTCTGACGTTGGCCCCCACTGGTCTAGGTCTGTGCTTAAAACTGCATTTCTTGATTTCTTGTTTGCCTCCCTTCACACTGTATTCTTTCCCTGCTTTTGACAGCACTATTGTTATGCTCTAAGTTCTGTTGGCTGCTAGAACTCTAAAAATAAGCTTAAAATCACTATTCCTTTTGATGGTGTTCATTACACGTATTTTCTCTCTCCTTCACATCTTCCTCCCCACCTCCATGGCTTCACTGTGCAAGTGACATCTTATTGTTGTTGCTGAGATGTTCACATCTGCATTGTACTCCTCATCTTAATATGGTCTTACATGATTTATTCAATCTCAATTTCTTGGTTAGAGTTTAAAAAAAAGATACCCATCCCCCCCCAACACTCTTATTTCTATCTCCTGATAGAAATGCCTTCCCTTCATCTCTTTGATGTCTGGCTTGTCCTATGAAACCAAAGACATCCTCTCCTGTATCTGGAAGGCTTTTAGCCAACCCCTCTCCTTTCTCTTATGCTTCCTTTCTCTACTATTTCCTAAATCATCGTGAAAGAAGGGTAGCTGAGAGCTGACTCAGGGACTGTCCCAGCAGTCTGTGTGTAAAAAGAAATATAGTCTTGCAAGCTAAATAAATCAAGAGGCAACATTTTTCTTTATGGACACAGATTAAACTTAATGAGCTGAATTAGTAAATCCAGAAACTGGCCTGTCTTGGAGCCAAGACTATCATTTTTGCAACAATGGGATGTTTTTAAAGCATCATTCTTTAGATATTACAATCAAGACCTCCAAGCTTCCAGAAAAAACTGCCACTGCACAGGAGGGACAGAAAAACAGAATCCCTTGATTTTATTGAAATAGCATTAGATCAACACAGAAAGGTAGGACTCTTGCGTTCCATTCAGATTTAAAAATCTTATCATTTTTTGATTGCACAACCTCAAATAAATTAGCCTAATAATGCTCAACTTCTCTAACAACCTGAGAAGTTTGGGTGAGATAATTTTCCAAGTGACTTCCAACTCTGGTAGGCAATGATATCACTCTCTAGCAATCACTCACTCATACATGCTCTCATGGATAAAGGGACTCTTTGGTGGTTTCTTAATGAACATGTGTTGAGTATAGGGAAGGAAGAGTATACAGATGGAGAGAAATCAGGTGTATTTTAAAAGGCCATCTTAATAGAAAAAGATCTATCAGGGCAGACCAGCAATGTCATAAATCAGGTGAACATAAGCACACAAGACATGTAGCCCAGTCTGTGGTCAATAACTGATCAGTGTATAAATCTGAAGAATGCATGAGTTCAATTAACTTAATCAATGTTATGCTTGGTGGAAGTTTGGACCTAGAAATTATATGTTTAGAACACTTGAGTACAGAATCCTTGAGGATGGCAAATGTGTTTTCAGTATTTTCATAGTCACTTCCTTGTGGCTATTAGCACCATCTTGTCCAGAGTGTCATCTCAAAAAAATTGTTGACAGTGTTCTATTATTATAACCCATTTTAGTACAAATATGCACAGAATGCACTCATCAAGAAATAGCTGGTCTCTACCAGAAGGCAGTATGAGAGATTGATGTGTATCTCTCATTGTCTAAAGGGTCCCGGAGACAGATAAAGTATTATGACTGCTGTATGCAATGACAGAGAAATAAAAAGATAGGGTAGAACTCTGAAGGCAGTTATAGAGAGGTGTATAGTCTTAACTATGAAAACTTTAGCAGACGAGGACATGGCCTTGTTGGGTTTTCTCCAGACATATCTACCAAGTTGAACATGTCTTAGAAATAGAATCTAGATGGAAGTAGCTGTGGTTTCTGTCACAAGACCTACACAAGATCAAGACAGTCAACATTACAGCATGAATATGGAAGGAACTCACAGGTCCCTACCCCCTAGCTGAAGAGCTATTAGCAGTTTATGGTTGCTGGATGAAGGAGACTTAGTTTTCTTCAGTAGTATTGGTAGGTAAGTTGCCCATGCTCCCGTGGATGTCTTCCTACATTTATGCACATAGAGGAAACACAACATAGGCTCAGTGGATTAGAAAGAAGAGGGGAGAAGGAGGAAAGAGGAGAGAAAATTGCAAGGGGAATGGGAGAGGTTACCCAGAGGTTACAGAGACAAAGTATGGGGCAGATACGACCTAGATACATTGTATTCATGTATGAAATTAGCACAGAATGATATTTTTTAAAAAGAAAGTTACAATTCCGGTGAAATCTATCTTATTTTTCATTGGATCCCTGGCATACAGAGCCTGGCATAGAAGAAGCTTTCAAAAATACTTGTAGAATCCATAAGCAATTGACAGGATGGATCATTTCTAGATGGGAAAAACTCAGATGGAGGAAAAGATGTGTGATAAAGGGGTTAGAAGCAAGAGCTTTGAAAAGAGTTCCTGGTCTCAGGTTCAGCTCACACTGAGAACACAGACAGCTCTCAAGGTGATCCTGAGAAAACTACTTGACCTGCCTGAATCTCAGCTTCCTTTGTCATGCAGGGTCAATGACAGTAATATCTACCTCACAGAGAGCTGATACAATGCATAGAGAAGATTTAGCGCAATGCCTTGCTAAAATGATCAATAAAAACCCTACCATAAATCATTAGGATTAGAGGAATGCCACAGTGGGAAAGGAAGTATGACTAGCTTATGAAGAATCTGATTGTAGAGTCTGGGCTGCACACGGTGAGAAAATATGACCATTTTCTAGGATGCAAGGGGTGTCAGGTGAGCTCCCTTAAAAAGCTATCTTTAATATTTTTTTTAAGGATTAGGATGAGTAGTGGAGCTCAAAGCATGAAAATTGGGAAGACAGAAAGGAAGGATCCTCATGAGAGGAACTTAGTGTCTTAACTAAGGCAGAAATCTTGGGGTATTGAGGAAGCAGACTTTGTAGGGCTCTTGCTATGTATTGCCAAATAAATGGGATGAGGAAGCATCCGTGTGGTGGCCCACATTATGCATGACAGATGCAGCCTATGTGCTGGTGAACGGGTTAAGAATGAATCTTTCAGCCAACAGAAAACTGACAACATCTATCGAGAGACTCTTCACTTTGGGAAGATAATCCTGCAGCATTTGTTAATTTTGCATTGTCTGTCTTTACAGATAACAGTGCCTGGAATTGTTGCAGGAGACATATGACTAGTGTGGGAACAAAGCTGACTGAGGGGAAATGGAGACAGCTATGAAGCTAAGAAAATGGCAGGGCTTCAGGAGATTTATAACCAGAATCTGTTCCATTCTGGATACCATGTGAGCTGATAACAACCTTTTAAAGCTCATTTATGTTGAGGGTTTTATGTTTCCCATTACCCAGAACATATTTTTGTAAGACTTGTTTTTTTATTTTTAATTATGTGTATGTTTGGGGGGGCACGAGTGTATGCTATGTGTGTAGGTCCCTGCCAGGGCCAGAGGAGGGGGTTGTATCCTTGGATTTGGCTTTCCAGAAGGCTGTAAGTCACCCAATGTGGTTGTTGGGAACTGAATCAGGACTCTTATCCAAATGGACTCTTATCCAATGAGCTATATCATCAGTCTAAGATTGAAGGTCTTTTTTTCATTATTTATGTGTTGTATGTATTTATGCTACTTGTGTGTATGTTCTGCCAGTGTTGGAAGTGGACATGGGATTCCCTGGAGCTACAATGTCATCCAAAAGAGTAACAAGGACTTAACCACTGAACCGTCTCTCCAATCCCCAAACACCTTTACTGACAACATATCATTAATGAAAGGGTTAGGATGAGGGAATGGATAAGTGTAATGCGGTTCGGAGGTGTTTTACTTTTGTAGCTGGGTGGGTGTGAAGCCCTTTGTTGAGATAAGCAACTGAGGAAAAGGTTAAGATTTAGGGAACTGGAACTATTTGGTGCTTAGGGCATCAAGGCCAGCCTGGCACCCATGTATAATCATCCGATGCACAGTGAGCAATCTCCATAGTAGCCTATACATGTCATCACATATATAAGGTGGAGGTCGAAAATTTGCGGTGAGTGAATCCACCCAGGGAGAGATGGCCCAGTAAGCACACTAGGCCATGGGCCAACAGTATCGTTTTAGAAGTATTTTTGCATAATGTCAAATGCCAAGGTGATTCACCGAGGAGAAAAGTAACCAACATCAGAGCTGTAAGATAACTAGCCCTAAAGAAGATCTAACTCATATTTCCTTCCTTGAAGAATCTATCCATTCTGTGGATCAAAGTAGCCCCGAAAAGAGTGATCAAACAAAGCAGCCAACCAAGCTGAAGTTCCCAGCAAGGGCTAGCTAGGACCTTGCACTTTAGTTTGGCCTTAACTGGGGTTTAAAGAGTTAGGTGGGTTAATTTTTCTCATGGCTCCCACAAAATACCTGATAAACCACTTAAGGGAGTAGGAGTTTATCAGGGTTACAGTTTGGGGCAGGGGTGGAGGATACAGTCCACCATGGTGGAGAACCTAGGGAGACTGAGCCAGCCAATCACATCGTACCCACAGTCAGGAAGCAGAGCAATAGTGTGGATGTGTTCAGCTGGTTTTCTTCATTTTTAAATGCAGTCCTGGACCTCAGCCAGGGAGTAATGTCACCCTCATTTAGAGTAGTTCTTCTCACCCCAATTAACCTCGTCCAGAAAATCCCTCATGGACCTGCCCAAAGATTTGTCTCCAAGGTGATTCAAGATCACGTCAAGTTGCCAATCTACATAAACCAGCACAGATACAAATAAAGTGTGCCTATAAATAGCACAAAGATTATGTGCCATTTTACCGTACAGCTACCCTATGAGGTAGATACCGTTATCATACCCATTTATCACAGGAGACAAAGTAGACTTGCAGAGTTTTAACTCCTGTCCCAATCATGTGGTTAACAAGTGACAACATCCAGGTCTGCCTAACTTTAGAATCCTTTCTATCTCCAAAGTGGCATGTAGTCTTCATGAAGAACAACATAGGGTTTGGTTGGAAAATCATTTGTGTATATGCTTTAACTTATTTGAATGTTGTCAGTGTCAGGTGCTGTGACTCACTTTATAAATAAGGAATGTCATAAGCAGCAAAGCCCAGGGCATCAAAGGTGAAATTTGTTTAACATATTTCCTATGAGGAAAAGAGCACATCCATGAATTCAATGTCGGTTGATCCTTTGTTTATGGTTGAATAGATACAAGATCTCCTTACCTGCTACTTATGAGTAGAGTATAATTCTCACCCACAATGAGAGGAAGGTGGATCAGAGCTTCTCTGCCTGTCCTTTGACATACAGATGTTTGGAAGCCACCTATAAAGTAATAAGTGTGAGGATGAAAATATACTATTTTATGAGACTATTCTAGAGAGCTTGTTATGTAGCAAGAGCTGACTGACACAATTATTCTTAATAAAAATTTAATGGATGATTTTGATTTGTTCATTAATTCAGCTACCACTTACATGGCAGTTAATTGCTGTGCTTGTGATTAAATTTGTGAACAGGACAACTTTGTCAAAGAGTTCTCAGCATAGTGGGGAAAGAGATTATTTAAATAAAACTTTGTAGTTACATAGTGCTAGTACTCTGATAGAGTGATAGGGGAGGACCTGGAAACCATAGTGCTGTGGGTCTAACAGAGATTTCTAGATCTCTGCAAGACATTCCATCTTAACTGAGGAGCAAGTGATATTAGACAGGGTAGGAGGACACGTGGGAGGGAGGGGAATGGTGACTGAGAGACACAGGCAAAGGAACAAAATGATAATTGTTGCCCCAGGGCAAGAGAGAGAATGAATACTATGAGGGGTGATGGGTGCTTTCCAATGGGAGGAAAGTAACGGGGAAGGGTGAGAAGGCGAGTGAGCCTAGCCATGTAAACACTTGCCGCACTTTCCTGGTTAATTGGAACATCATTCTGAGAGAGCTAGAGGGCAGAAAATTGTTTTAGTAAACTTTTTAAAATTCATGTGTTTTCCAATTCCAAACTCATAAATAGCCTGGTCTATGCAAGTAACAGATTTTTCAAACATTTACGGCAAAATAAAAAATTTTAAATACCCCTTCCAAAATCAACACACCCACTCTAACAATGCATGCCAGAGAATTTCTAATCAACCAGCACCTAATGTTATGTTCCTGATGAGCGCGCTCCAAGAGTCCTGTGGATAATTTAATGTTAGGGTGTGAGCGGGTGCTTTCCTCAGCCCTTTATTACTTACTTGAGTTGTTGCTATGGGAAACGAAATTCTGCTCCAGACATCGACAGTATTTACAGAAAGGTAGGGAATAGGAACAGAAAACAAATATTTCATAACCTCATATTTCCCCATGACTCCCTGCTCTGGAAGTCTTCCAAGACACTACGTCCGGTGAGATTTTCTACGTGAAGAGTGTTACCCTATCGGGCATGGCCAATCTTCTTCAATAATGTTTACAATAGTGATGATTCATTAATTAAGGAGAATTGCCTGTTATTTTTCCTTAAAAGGAAATTAATGAGAGGGTTAACTGTTGACAGGAAATGACTTGGTATTTACAGGATCTCTGATCCGGGCACATAGTAGGTTTTTAATTTTTTTTTTCCAAATATGGGTATTTTGCCAGCATGTATTCTTTGCACTGTGTATGTACCTTACCAGTGGAGAACAAAAGAGGCTGTCAGAGCCCCTCAAGCTGGAGTTACAGATGGTGATGAGCCTGGATAATATTGATGTAATATTTTAATTCCTTATAATGATGATGATGATAATGTTGATGATACCGAGATTAATTTTCTAGATCAAATTACCGGGTTTTTTTTCCCTTCAAAGGCAGACAAGGAGGGGCCAAAGATAAGCTGTGTCCTGTGATTCTGGAGAAACGACAAGATCTTTTAAGGAGTTGATCTTAGGTGATCATCCATCCTGATGGCAGACTCCATTCAGTCCCCACATGGCCTTCCAGGCCCTTCCTCTTGAGCGCCCAATGAGTCCTACACCAGTTCACATAGCATTTGAGAGATAACCAAAAGCTCTACCTATTGTGCCTTGGCCTTCCAAGCCAGTGAGGAAGGTAGTGTTCAGCCTGGTCCTGGATGACAAGACTTCTGGTGGGGGATGCTCTCAGGCAAACCTCCTACTAAATGCTTCCCTTCACTTCTGGTAAAGTCATAGGGAGGAAAGAAGAGTCACCGGTTCAGAGAAATCCCTGTCATGTCTAGTCTGTGAGGGTTTTCCCAGGTGTGTGAGTTCTTTCACAATAAAGGAAATGAGGAAATGTCTCTGGTTTTATTTATAGTGTGACCTGTGCGTTCATTCATCCTGTTTAATTCAACTAAGAGACATTGCCTCAGCTACAGACAGTGGCATCTGCCTTCCATTCATTGTGAGTGTCCTCGTGTAATGAAGGTAGGTCAATTCTCAACAACTACAGCCCTGCGGGGTGTTTTATGACTCTCCCAGCTCAGAGATGTAGAATCCCTGAGAGCAGAATGGAAGCTGATTGCCTCCTCCCTTGGTGCGTATCCCCATCGTGGGATAACTGTTACCACGGATGACAGCATTGGGTTAGTGACAAGGGGCAGAAAGAATAAGTGAGGGTGGAAAACGATGAGTATCTGCAATGTGACAAAATTCTTCTTAGTCACTCATGTGCACTTCTCTAACAGATGTTAGAGATGTGCATTGTTATGGTTTGTTCTCCTTATTAAAAAAATAACCACTGTTCATGGAGCTGTCTGTAACTCCCTCAAGTTCACAGTTCCTTAAGCTGGGAGTAGGAGAAATCATAATAGGTTTTACTGACTCTCATGATTTTAAAAAGTGGCGTGTGAGAGAAAGACGCCATTCAACTTTGGTGGATTTTTTTTTAATTGGGGAAAGTGAATGGAAAAAGTAGGGAGGGGAGAGGGGAGACCAGCCTTTTGGGACAGGAGGGGCAGAAGAGAAGAGACAGGGAGAGAGAGAGAGAGAGAGAGAGAGAGAGAGAGAGAGAGAGAGAGAGACAGAGGGGAGAAGACAGG